GACTGAGGGCAAAAGGGCAAGTGCTTCAGCACCACCTCGTCTCTATCTGTGCACGCCAGTGTACACCGCCATCCCAAAACGATGGAGGATAAATACATCGTTAAGTTATTTTTTAGATATTGGGGGGATCGAGCCAATTGTACATCAGCTGTAGTTACATGTACAGAAATGTACAGAAATTGTACAGAATGTACAGAAATTGACTCTGAGGAACATTTTTGTACCATTGGGGGTACAATAATGCTGTTTGTACCTTGGGGTACAAATCTGTACTTGAGTTGTACTCTTTTCTGTGATAGTATAGGCAAAAAGTGACAGTCACGAGGTTAAATTAAAATACAATTAGAAGACTGACCCATGTTCTTTCTGTATTACATTGCTGACCTGGCAGTACATTGACACACTATAAATAAGACACTGAATGACTAGAGTTTACGGGGGAAGTTATAGCCTAAATTAAGTCATCAATCATCCACCTATGAACTGTTTATTATGGTTGCAGTTATGGTGGGGGTCAGATAAATCCTATTTCAGACAGCATAAGCAAGACTAGGGCCCACCCTGGATAGGAGGCAAGTCAATCACTGGCCACATATTTACCATGGAAATCTGTGCAACAAGAAGAGAATATGCAAACTCCCCACAAAGAGAGCAGAAGCAGGAAACCCATGTGGATGTTTTTGCCAGCAGAAGTACCCACTCAGTTAATGTGCTGCCCTGTCATCAAACCTTATGGATAAATCCACCAAGTGCTCTTTGTCATTTATTTGTGTTCTCAAAGATGCACGTTTCTGGGGGAAATGTACTGATTTACTATACTGGTAATTTTATATTACCTGATGATGAACGTCATATTTAATGGTCTTATGAATTATATAAATGTCAGAACATCAGATGTGTGCAACTGTTCTAAAGAAGTGGTCTTGCAGTGTTTTAGTCTCACCACTACTTGAGGTTAACATATTGTTTCTTCACATTAACAGTGGTATAAATGCCATTTTCAACACCACTTCTTTCTGACAAACTTGATAACAAAAACCAAAGTTAATAAGCAACCAAACACATAGTTCATCTCTGGTTAAGCTGGGTGAAAATGGTACTAATTGCTATTTCTGGTTTCATAAGAAATGTGTTTATTCATTGTTTCATTCATCAAGGACAGCAAGAAAGAGCCTGCACATTATCTTTACATTTAAAAGAATTTATTTGGTGTACACTTTCCATACAAGCTCTGCAAACGAATAGAGCATTAAGTTCACATAAAATGCAGGCAATTAACACAACACCACCCTTGCATCTAGCACTGTTGTGCGACCTACAAAATGTACAATAAAAACCCTTGAGAGTCAACAGTGGTGCTAAAAACAACAACTGCAATGTTTATTACATTTCACTGTTGCTCCTATAATTAATAGGTATGTGACTATTTTAATAGTGCACATTCAATGGGTGCACATCCAATGGGTGCACATCCAATGGGTGCACATCCAATGGGGCACATCCAATGGGTGGACATCCATTGGGGCACATCCAATGGGTGCACATCCAATGGGGCACATCCAATGGGTGCACATCCAGCTTTATGTACGATCGTAGTATGAAAGGTTCAAGAAGGTTTAAAAAAAATCTAAGTTAGTTCCAGCTGTGTCATCAACTTCTGCAGTGTGCATTAAATGACCAAAAGTATGTGGAAATAGTTTGTCAACATCATATGCCATTATTATTAATATGAAGTTGGTCCACCCTTTGTTGCCATAATAGCCTCTACTTTTCCAGGAAGGCTTTGTTAGAACATTGCTGGTCGGATTTGCTGCCAATCAAGTGGAGTTTTTATGTTGGAAGACTGGGTCCCTTTCTGTGAGTTTGTATGATCGACCACTTTGCAAATGAACTTGCTCCCAGACATTATCACTGCACAATATTTTGTGCCTGACCAAAGCAGCTCTGACAAGGTAGAAATTTGGGGAACAGACTTATTGGAGAGATGGTGCCCTAAGACAGTGCCAAGTCACAAGTCACTAACCTCTTCGTACGATGAAGCATTCTACTGCTAATGCTTGTTGAAGGAGATTGCATGTCTGCATGCTTAAATATATACCCGTGTTAGCAATGGCTATGGTGTAACTAGCTAATTGAGGAGCAAATTTTTAAAGCTCACTCAGTCCACAGGATATGTAAATGGGATAAGTACCATTTCTGTGGACTGTGAAATTTAACAAAAGAACGTCACTGGACGACATGAGGACTGAGTGAATTTTGCTTCCCAATACTGTAACATGCGATGAGGAAGCCTGACATTGACGGTCCCCTCTCAAATACAACAAGAAACTGAATGATTGACTTTTCAAAATTTGCTCTTCAATGCCTCTAGTAATAGGGGTGCCACATACTTTTGGCCATAAGGCGTATCTCACGTTAATGAGATGTAAAGGAATCCATCTTCTCAACACAATTTGCAGGTCAGGATGGACTTTTCATCCAATAAGGAACGAAGGGACTTGTGTCTGATGAGTTTGTGCCTTCGCTGAAAGTCATTGTGAACCCTGATTCCCAGGAGCAGATGCTGATGGGGTCTTCAGCAAATGATATATGCAAATGCTCTTACTTTCATTAATACAGATCTGTTCAGGATTTACCTCACATTCAGTTTCACCAACCTGTAAAATAACAGAAGGAAATAATAAAAAATGTATACATTAATAATGTAATAAGCATCATAAGTGGCAATGGCACAGCAGCTGTAATATAACAATTAGTCATATAGAGTCAAAAAGGCTGTGTATAATAGATTACAGCATTATCTATGCCATAAGCATGAAATTACATGCTGTCTGGGAGTTTTCTGGTGAATACAGCTCTGTTAATGTACCTCTAGTCTGGAACTTTCTGTATTTCTGTGTTTCCACTCTTGATTGAAGTGCTTATTAGCTGAAACATCTGCAAAATGATAAAAAAAAAGAGGCAGCAACCTGTTTTAATGTCTTTCGGGCCAGAAAAAGGAGACATGCATGCTGTTTACATTCCCAGAGACCCCATCACTGTGTCACTGTGCAACAATTTGTCTCACCTGAAGATCTTCTATATCTGCAGTGAAGAACCATGCAGAGAAGTAGCAGTGCAAGCAGAGAGGTGACCAAAGTGCCAAACACCACTGCCATTTTATGGCTGGAGTCTTTTTTGTCTTGCGACTCTGAAGAAAATGGAAGAGTTTGAATTAATCACCGACAACCTTGAGAGAAAACAGCTTTAAATATGTTTCTCTTCACTGGATGATTCACATGTGACCTCAGATATTCCAATTCCACATAGAGTTCTTAGAATTAATGTTTAGCATGCTAATGATTAGCATTTGAAAATACATCAGTTGGACTGGGTTACCCCGAAAGACCTGTCTTTATTAGAAGTGGGTTGGCTGGTGTTTCCTTTTCTGTGTACTGCAATCTGGAATCTAGGTTCTGCATCACAAAGCTGGATTT